TGCGAACTATTACAAGTTTTGCAACAGGGCTGAAGGTTTCATTGTAGTCCAGTCCTGCTTGTTGATGATATCCCTTCGCTACAAGACGGGCTTTATACCATTCGAGAGAACCATTGGATCGAAGCTTAACTTTGAAGATCCATTTACATCCAATGGGACGAGCATGAGCAGGAGCAAGAACAAGCTCCCAAGTTCCGTTTTGAATTAAGGCAGTATATTCAGCTGCCATGGCTGCACGCCATTGAGGATCACGCGATGCTTGAGTGAAGCATGTAGGTTCAGTGTAAGGATGAGCTGCGACCATCATTGCATATGTGTGCTGGCGGTTGATAGTCCTGCGCGAAATAGTACCATCTTTGAGACGAGTGACCATCGGATGAGTAGTTGCAGAAGGACAGGTTTCTGGTGGAGATGGTGCTGTTGAGATAGGGGGTGATGGTAAAGGAGGTGGAGGCGTTGAAGGCACCTGTTGTGGAGTCGCGTTTGAAGTTGTGACTGGAGGTGGAGGTAGTGGCAACACTATGTCCGTAATGTGAGTTGGCGTTGATGTAGAAGATATGTTGTTGAATGGGAAGCTTGTTTCTTCAAAAATAGCATCAGTAGCAACGTAAAATTTACGGGTAAGTGGACAGTAACAACGATACCCGCGATAGCCTGGAGGGTAGCCAAGAAAAATGCATGCCTTTGATCGTGGAGCGGGCTTGGAGGAGCATAGGGCCGTAAATAGGGGAATATTGCACACCGAAAGATGCGTAGATAAGAAATGTCAGGAGGTGTCCCAAATAACGCCTGCCAAGGACTGATGTTACCAATGACCGGCGAAGGGAGTCTGTTGATGAGAAAAGTGGCAGTCTCGAATGCAAACTCCCAAAATTCAGATGATATACCAGCGTGTGTCAAGGGAGCAAGGCCTGTTTCAACAAGGTGACGATGCTTTCGCTCAGCAGTGCCATTTTGAAAAGGAGAATACGGGCAAGAGACACGTTGGTGAATGCCATGTTGAATAAGGTGAGCACGAAATGCCGATCAGAGAAATTCAGGTGCGCCATCACATTGTATTACTTGTAATCTACACTGAAGTTGAGTCTCCACAAATTTATGAAAAGCAATAAATGTAGGTAAAAATTGTGCACGAGTTGTGAGAGGATAGTACCTAGTAAAACGAGAATAATCGTCAATAAAGCAAACATAATATTTATAACCACTTAAAGACATTACAGGAGAAGGCCCCCATATATCAAAATGTACCAGCTGTAGAGGGGAAGAAGCCCTAGACATAGTGGATGGGTGGGAATGACGATGGCTCTTGCTAAGAGCACATGACTTACATACAGTGGAGGGTGAGCTGGTAAAACTAGTCTTAGTGGAATGTAGTAGTCGAACTGAAGCATTGGAATGTGCATGGCCCAATCGATGATGCCACAAATTTATTGAATGAGCATGAGAAGCAGTAAAAGCTGGGGAAAAGTGCCAAAAAAAGTCCTAAACCTTTTGCATTAGTACCAATTTAGTCCTAAACCTTTTTTTGATGCTAATTCAGTCCTAAACCTTTTACATTAGTGCCAATTTAGTCCTAAACCTTTTTTTGGTGCCAATTAAGTCCTAAACCTTTTAAATTGGTGCCAATTCAGTCCTAAACCTTTTGTTTTTGTGCCAATTTAGTCCTTCCGGTCAATTTTGACCGGAATTTGCCGACGTGGACGCCTGCCGGCCGGCGGCCGGTCACCGGCGCCGACGTGGCGCTGACGTGGACAACTTTAATAATATTTTAATATTTTATTGAATTTTTATTTTTTTTCCTTTTTTTTCCACTTTTTTTTTGTCCCCCCTCCTTCCTCTGGCCGGTCGCCGGTCCGGCGACTAGCCAGAGGCTAGAGGCTGGCGAGCTCAACCTCGCCGGCCACCGGGCGAGGGCGACGGCCTCGCCCAATGAGGGCGACGGCCTCGCCCGGCCGAGGGCGAGGCTCGACCTCGCCCGGCCACCGGGCGAGGGCGGCGGCCTCGCCCCTCGACCTCGCCGGCCACCGGCGAGGGCGGCGGCCTCGCCCGCCGAGGGCGAGGCTCGACCTCGCCGGTGGTCGGCGAGGCCCGACCTCGCCGGATCCGGCGAGGTCGCCGGGCGAGGCTCGACTTCGCAGATCAGCGAGCTCGGGCCTTGCTCGACCATGGCGAGGCTCGCCCTCGTCGCGGCCTCCCGGCGAGGGCTCGAGCCTCGCCGCTTGCCGGCGAGGTCGAGCCTCGCCCGACCAAGGCGAGGCTCGCCCTCGCCGCTGGCCGGCGAGGTCGTGCTCGCCGGCCTCTCGCCTCCGGCCTGGTCGGGCGGACCGGCGACCAGCCTGTGAGGAGGAGGGGGGACCAAAAAAAAAAGTGGAAAAAAAATAAAAATTCAAAAAAATATTAAAATATTATTAAAGTTGTCCACGTCGGTGCCGGTGACTGGCCGCCGGCCGGTAGGCATCCACGTCGGCAAATTCCGATCAAAATTGATCGGAAGGACTAAATTGGCACAAAAATAAAAGGTTTAGGACACGGAAGGGCAAGACGCGGAAGGGCAAGACGCGGTAGAGGCCGTTCTCAAGTCTGCCTTGGAGTAGAATCTGATTATTGTGAAGAGAGATCGCAAGACAATATGTGCCATAAAACAAGAAAACACAATTATTTTCAATGGCAAATTGAGAGACTGATAATAAGTTTTTAGTGATAGATGGTAAAACTAAAATATTTGATAATTGAAAAGGAGTGGAAGAAGTCGGCTCAAGTGTACCTGTGTGGGTGATATGAAGAGAAACTCCATCACCCACAGTGTTAACATGTCGAGACGCACCAGAATCCGGGTACCATGACGCAGCATCCAAAGCAGAAGGAGGAGGAGCAATTGGAGCATAATGGGATACGGTTGGGGGAGTCAAACCTCACCGTTGCTGGGTGAGGGCTCGTCCTCGCTGGGGTCAGCCTCGCCTAGCAATGGCAGGATGATCCTCGCCATCACCGGCAACTAGTGAGGTCAGCCTCGCCCATTAATGGCGAGGTTGAGCCTCACCAGCGAGGTCGACCTCACCGGCCCTCGCCTCTGGCCAATCGCTGGTGACCGATTAGAGGTTAAAGATGAAGATGAGAAAAAAAAAAAAGAGAGGGAAAAAGGAAAGGAAAGGAAAGGAAAAAGAAAAAATGAAGAAATGAAAAAACTTGCAAAAATAAAAATAATATTAAAAATTACCACGTCAGCGTTGGCATGCCGGCTAGCCAAATTGGCCAAATAGACTGAATTGACACAAATGCAAAATGTTTAGAACTGAATTGACACAATTGCAAAAGGTTTAGGACTATTTTGGTAATTTTTTCGAATTCAAAGCAAAACGATTGAAACTGGGGGGTTGGAAATGAGGAAAAAAAGAAACTCCTTTTTTATTTTATCTTTTATTTTCCTCCGTCGATATGTAGCTATAATAAAATTGCAAAATGCATAAAAAAAGGTTATTTTCACCTTTAGGACTTATGCTTCAGTTAAAATAATGATTAAAAAATTATTTGGAATTAAATAATGATTAAAAAGTTATTAAAAATTTCAATTGTTTGGAATTAAATAAGAGTTTATATGAGAATTCCGAAAATTCTAGAAAAAGCTAAAACATAAAAGTAATTGTATTGTTCACTCTTCGCAATATTCATAAAATGATTAAAATAAATTGGTTTACAAAATATAGAAATCAGCACACAGGATGTGACATTTTTTTGACATTTTTTTGCACAGTTTTTAATTCTTTTCCTTTTCAAAATTGCAGAGGAAAAGTGATGATAAAACTTAAAAGTTGACTGGGAAAATTATCCAATCCTTTTTCTTCTTTTTCCATTTACGTAAACACTCTCGACATCTCCAGAGTGGCAAATATTGGATCAGATGAAATGAAAGAAAAACTCAAATTAATTGCAAAATTTTCCGAATTTATTACATATCAGTATTATTAAATGCTTTCGTTTGAGATTTGTGCCATTTTAACAAAAACTATTTCATATATAAGAGTTGTCGGGAAAATTACCAAAACAGTCCTAAACCTATTGCAATTGTGTTAAGTCAATTCTAAACCTTTTTTTTGCATCAATTCAGTCCTAAACCTTTTACATTTGTGCCAATTCAATACATCCGGCGATTTTTGGCCGACCGGTGCTGACGTGGACACCGGCCGGTGCCTACCATCCTGCCGACGCTAATGTGACAATATTTTTAATATTTTTTTGAATTTTTTTTCTCTCTCTTTTTTTGTTATCTTCTTCCCGGCCGGTCCGGCAACGGGCCAGATGCTAAGGCCGACGAGTTGGGCAAGGTTGGCTGTCGCCATCGCTGGGCAAGGTCGAGCTTTGCCAAGCTCGACCTTGCCCAGATCCACCCTTGCCGTCGGTGGGCGAGGTCTCGCTAAATCCACCTTTGTTGTCGCTAGGGGAGGCCGAGCCTCACCATGGCTGGGTGAGGCTCAACCTCGCCATTCGATGACGAGGCCGCGCAGATCTGGCTCGACCTCACCCGCCGACGGCGAGGGTGGATCTAGCGAGACCTCGCTGTCAGTGGGCGAGGTCGAGCTCGCCCGGCCATGGCGAGGCTCGACCTTGCCCATGGCCGGCGAGTTCAACTTCGCCGGTCACCGGACCGGCTAGGAAGAATATAGGAAAAAATAAAGAGAAAAAAAGTAAAAAAATTCGAAAAAAGTAAAAAATATATTTAAAATATTGCCACGTCAGCGTCGGCCGGCATCGACTAATGTCCACGTCAACACCAGCTGGCCAAAAGTGGCCGGATGGACTAAATTGGCCAAAATTTTAAGATTTAAGGCTAAATTGACAAAAAAATTTAAGACTGAATTGATACAAATACAATAGATTTAAGACCGTTATGGTAACTTTTTCAAGAGGATTAATGGCTTGATTTGCATCGGACCACCACCACCCCACACCCCCCCCCCCCCCCCCCAACGGGTCCAGTTTTGACACCAAAAGTAGACAATAAAGCACTGTTTCGAGTTCTCACACCAAAAAGAAAATGAGCCACACGGAACAGCACGTCCAGATTACATTGATGGCCACACAGACAATTCAGCACAGGGAGAGCAAACAGCTGTCTATCAGCACAGGAAGTTCAATCACACCATCAGATACAAATGCATAAGCCACGGGAAATAGTCCAACAATACCGCCAATACTAATTCTTGTACTTGTAAACTTTGGTCTTCAGCTTCAGGTCCTGTTTCCACCATTCGAGGATACCATGCGCCCTCCTGAACTCCGGCGGCGGATCTAAATTGATTATTAGATTTGCCGACGGGATGAAGTGCAAAGGCTCTGCCTGCTTCCCCTTCTTGCTCATGACCAGCGATCCTAAAGAATGCTGACTAGCAAACCTCCCGAGACCTCCTGCTCCCATCTTTTGCATGCTGACTCGGCGATCGAAATAGTCAATGTATCCCAAGCAGATTTTATCGACCTTGTTGACAAACAGCCGAGGAACCCAAGGGGACAAAGCCGCAAAAGAATTGGCGGATTGATTCAGCTGTTGACGAGACTTCGTAGCAATTGCCCACGCAGCACGGCCCACGTCGGTGCCAAAATGGACAGCCCGCTTCAAACTCTCGTTCTCGATCTTCTCGAGCGGGGTAGATAGGTAAGGCGGATTGAAGAGGAAAGACTCGAGAAACAATCCCTGTTTGGCCATGTTCTTTCCAGCTTGCAGAGCAATGGCAGACCCCAGGGAGTGGCCAGCTAACCAGACCCTAGAATCGCCAGCGGTTGCAACCATGTCTTGCACTGCCTGCGTGGCAGTCTCGCAGCGATAGGCGGAGGGGAGCTCATTCCGGATAAGCTTAGCATTCAGCTTCATATCTTGACAGAACGTTTCTACCTTGATCAAGGTGCCTCGGAAGGCGACCACAAAGTGCGGTCCATCTGCTGAGTGGTTACCTGAGGATGGCGGAGGCTTATACTCAAAGATGGCACCGAAGATAGAAGGGTTGGCCTTATCTTCGAGTTTGCGCAGCAACTGAAAATTGAAAAATTCCCACCAACGAGGAGCAAGAGCCTGGGGACCTTCACGTTTCTCCTGGCGGTCCCGCTCTAAGACATAGACAGCTTGAACCAAACAAGCAGCAACCGACCTCTGATGATCTGCATTATTCCTATGTTAGAAGTCCAAGAAATGTTAGTTTCGTCAATATGTTTGCTGATAAGAAACTCTGTAGCTAGACTAAGCTAGATACCCATTTCATCGTTTCACGGCCAAAAGAAAAAGAGAAACTCGAGAGCTAGACATCGGATTTGAGAGAAGTTTAAAATGCCATATTTTCGAAAAAGCTTCTCATGCAATCTGAACTTGGTTTAGAATGAAAAGTTGGCACTCCATACATGCTGCTTCTATCCAAAAACTACAAACTGGATGTGTCCATGAACCAAATATTACATGGCAACCGTGGGGGACGAAGTTACAATAGGTAGTGCATGTGTGGGCAAATCAACACCTAGCGATAACAGCCTATGACATATTAAAGGTCACATATCTAGCAAAACTCCTCCTTCTCGGCATAGTATCGAGTAAAACTCTATGAGGAACTAATCAGAGACATGCCACCCCAGCTTGAATGAATTGCAAGGGGAAGACAAGCGCCCGTGGCGCATTAGGGAAGTTCGTCTGTTAAGAACAAAAACTACCTACAGAAGTAGATGGAAATTACACCATAGATGCACCTTCTTAGTCAGTTCTTTCTCTAACTATAACCCCGGTAGTGCGTGTTAAGTTATGGAAAAGTTGAACAGCTAGGACAATGCTTAGTTTTGCATGCTCAAAAAGTAACAGCACGACACAGTAATTGGTCATCCCCAAATAATCGAGACAAAGGTGAAGGAAACTCTCTGGGAATTTTGATAAGACATGACGGAAACTTAAAAGGTGCGACTTGGGGCTTTTTGTTCAATGAGGAAAGAGAATCTGAAGGTCTTACCAGTCAATGCGAGTAAGGTCCGAGGGCCCTGAACGGTCAAAAATTTCGCTCTCGGAGACCATAATCCCACAGGTTCATTTCAAACTTCTTCTCCCTGAAAGCTGCTTAGAAGTGAACATTGCATACAACAGTTAGTAAAGGACATTGGCTAGTGTCGTGTGCATTACTGCACATCCATATTTGTACCCGACTCCCTTCACCGTAATTAAATCTATGTACTATAAGGATCAACTGTGCGTCTTTTTAAACACATACAACTATTTCAAGCTGCCTCATGAAGTTTTAGGTTCCATCCAATTATTATGCATCGGGGACCTTCTTTTTCTTTAATAGTCATGTGAAGTTCAGGGATAAAAGTAATCTGCTGTGACACTAATAATTTGAACTGTCGAAGTATGAGCTTAAAGGTCAATGTGTCCAGACCAGTCGATCCAGTCACTAAAAGAGTACCTACAAAGAGGTTCAGGGAGGGAGTTGAGCTGGCCCAAATGATTCTGAATAATCTTCCCTCTTCTGATTATGCCTTAATCTACATCATAACAACTTCCGCTTATCCCAAAAAGACCGAGCAGATTATTATGCAACAGCAATCTGAATATACAATGAGGAAGACTATCATTTTGCACCTTTTAAGTCGTAACAAAATGCCTGAACTTACCCTGCGTCAATTACCAAATAGGAAAAGGAGAAAAAGGTGGAAGTTTTGTTATATAAAAGATCGTCGCCATCCCCAGGCTATGATTCCTCACGAAGAAAATTCGAAATACTCCAACGACAGAACTTGCACCGGATTGTTCATAAATGGCATCCAATTCATTCCAAACAATCTCACAATCAATTAAATGGACAGAAATGGGTCATGAGAGGTGGACCGGTTAAGCTTGAGTTTTTCTAACTCGGCTCAAGTTGATACAGTTTTTTTATTAGACGTATCTGCAACCTTTTCCCAGATGGATTGCTGGGTCGCAGGTCGAACTGGATTTTGTTTAGCAATGACCATGTGTCCTGAGATATTCCCATTTTTTAAACATTGGAAATGTGGTTTTGAACATTGGTCTCGTCTTTTGTACCTTGTAATATAGTGTATAGCCAGCAGGTAGAAAGAGATCCCAATGCAAAAGGGCAGAATAGGATAAACAAAGTGTGATGACATCCAAATTCAAAACAATTCCAGCATACCATTTCTTTTTCCATCAAAAGTAATGCACATCTCTTTGTTGGCTTATACAAACTTTTTCTCTTTCAAACTCAACCCACAGTGTGCTTCTTATTGTTGCCATATTAAACAAGCACAACGCACACCAGAAAGCACGCAGAGATAGACCCGAAAATGGTACATGCGCACTCAAACAGGCACGTAAACACACGAATACCATGGATGCCATTGCGTGTGCGTCGAAAACTGATATGAATTTGAGCAAAATTACCAAACGTTTGACCTCTATTGTACCTTACTAATATAACTGCCTCATCTCAAAAGGGCATAAACATACGCGAAACCTGACCTATTCACAACAATTCAATGAAAAAACCCACTAAAAGATTCACGAGGTTCTGCACAACTACTCCACTATCCGCCAGAGAGAGCAGCAATTCCTTAACTTGCAGTGACATATGCAAAACCCCACAAAAGAAAAAGGACAAACCGAACCTCGCCCATTTGCAATTACTTAACATCCACAACACGAAACATCGCGCCCGTGGGCATTTTGACAAAGTCCATTCCTTTCACTTTTCGACCTCGAAATCGATCGTCAGGAATCGGAACTTCAGCGTCCCCGCAAGGCCAAAACCACAACCCCAACACGTAACGCAAAGCGAAAGGGTCCACGGACAAATGTAACCCAGATTAGAAACAATGAAGCGTACCTCAAACGTATCCGATGAGGTGCGAGAAAGAGTCGCAGGGTTGATCAAGAGCTCACCTTTGCTCGTCGCAAGAAACTTTGGTGTTCTTCTTCTTCTTTCTTTTTGTTTATTTTTTTGGGTCGAAGACAAACTTAACCCTACTAGTCCCAGCTGAGTAAATCCAACTACAGACGAGAAAATTCACGGGATTCAGCTCCAACCAATGCCTCCCTCCAAACCTGATGATGACAATCCGAAGCGAAGAAAGCTTGAAAATTGGGAAGAATTGCGAGGTCAAGCTTCGGAGAATCGCATCAGACGATCGCTGGAAGTGGAGACGGCAGTGGAAGAGAGAAGGAAGAGAAGGAAGGAAGGAAGGGTCGGAAGGAGACGATGGTTTTGCGCGAAACGAATTTCCTTGCCTGAAAAGGGGGGGCCAAAACGAAGGTAAAAATGAAACTCCTTTTTTCAAAAAAAAATTTCTTTTTATTTTCCTCTCTCGATATTATAGCTGTAATAAAATTGCAAATTTCAGATAAAAAGGTTATTTTCAAATTTACGACTTATGGTTCAGCTAACAAAAATAAATATAGGTTTACGTATGACGACTTTCCCTTTGAATTTTTCTTAAAAAAATATATTGTTTCAAAATTTAAAAATTTGTTAAAAGTTTCTAGTGTTTCGAATTAAATAGAGAGCTCGTGTGAGAATTCCGAAAAATCTAGAAAAAGCTAAAATGTAAAAGTAAATGTCTCACGTGATATTCATTATTGTTTACTCTTCGCAATATTATGACTTTCATAATATGCCTTTTTCTTAATGGAAAATGATTAAGATAAATTGTTTGACAATATATAGAAATCGACACATGGAATGTGACCCTTTTTTTACACGGAATTTTCAAAATTGTTAGAGGAAAAGTGATGATAAAACATAAAAGTTGACGGGATGAATCATCCAATCCTTTTTCTTGTTTTTCCATTTCCGTAAATTCTCTCGACATCTCAAAAGTAACATATATTAAATCAAATGAAAAGAAATAAAAACTCAAATTAGTTGCAAGACTTCCTAAATTTATATTTTGATATTGTTAGATGCTGTCATTTGAGATTTGTGTTGTTTTAACAAAATTATTTTCTATAAGAGTTGTCAATCATTGGAAAAATGTGAAGAAAAGAATTTTCTATTTGGTGAGAAAGCACCTATGGTCCCCCAATTCCTTCTTAAAGTTCTAAATTATATCTGACTTATGCTGTAAAATGTTGGGTTTAGCATCATAACAATCCCATGAAGGGGTTGAAGAATTTGTGCACTCACAACAACAACAAAAAAAGGTGGCGTTGCTTCAAACTCCAAACGAAAAATGACAAGAGGGCTCTCTCTCTCTCTCTCTCTTGCCCACAAACTGAAAACTCACCTGTCCTTTCACAACTGACGGCATATTTTGGATTGTTGATGTTACACTTTAGGGATCACTTGAGCAGTTTGACCTTTTTCCACTATCTTTTCAAAGAAAAAGAAAAGAAGCCCAGCCGTGTTTTTACCTTTCTTCACGGTTTCCCTCCTCCTGCACTTCACCTTAGCAAGAGAATAAAAGAACAGGGAGCTCGGGGGTGATGGGGGAACAAGATCGTGTCTCACAGGCAGGTGATCAAAGCAAAAATCGGAGCTCTTCTAGAAGCTGAGCTGGAGAAGGCTAACGGAATTGGTTTTAGATTCCTTAGAGATAACAGCTATGGGGAAGAAGAGAATCAGTTGGACTCTGAGAGAGAGAGAGAGTTGGCCGAAGAAGAGAGAGCTCGCGGAAGAGAGTTCAGAGGGAGAGAAAGTGAGGTTGAGGCTCCACTGAGAGAGGAAGAAGAAAGAGTTCTTTGCCATTGATGATTAGTCGGAAGCTTCGCCGGTGTTTGCTGTTGTCCGTCGGTCCTAGACGATCATCGCATTTCGATCACCGGTCATCGTCTTGCTCGTGATTCATTTCTGCTGCCGCTATCATCACATTGTCGACGATTTCCGATATCGCCGTTTCTGTCATTGCCGATTTCTCCTCACCGTCGTCGATCGCCATTCTGCAACTCACGAATCAGGTAAAATCATCTCCTCTAGTCTTCTGTTGCCTCTTGTTTTCTGTAGATGGGTAGCCGAAAGTCCAATTCTCTGGATAGGATTAAACGGAGCAGAACTGACCATACATGAGACTGATAGAGCGTCATACATTCATCTGATTCGAGCACGATTGCGAGTTTGCATCAGAAGTGGTTACAATCCACTCGTTCACCTTTTGCATAACATATGTTTGACAAAATGCTCGAGTGAAAGCCTGAAACCGATTTCGTAAAATTGATTCGTAGAATTTTCGTTTTATACTCTATTTGTTCTTAAATGGTCAGATTGATACTGAATCCGTGTTTTTCCTTTGATTTTGTGGCATATTCGTCCTTTGTTCGAGTCGGCCATTGATGGAAACTTCGACGGAGATCCATTCCACTTTTGCTGGAGCGATGCCCGCGGTTAGAGGCCGATTCAGTTAGTCCATCTCTTACGATTTGATTTGCATATATGTTTCCTACGTGCGATTGAGTTTCAGTTTACGTGATTTTTGAGTTTGAGAATTTCTCGCCGGAGTTAGTCCGACGATGTAGAAACCGTCGGCCAACTAGTGGCCGGTGGTTATTGGCCGGCCGTGGTTATTGACGTCGACGATTGAAGGTTGAGGTCGACGGTGTTATGGAGTTCGCCGGAAGAATTGTTCTCAGTGAAGGCGTGAGGAAAGTGAGATTTCGGTGAAGAAGACGATGCAGAGGGGAAGACCAAAAGGAAAATTAAAAAAAAGTTTAAAAAAATTTAAAAATAAAAAAGAAATAAAAAAAATATAAAATGGGGATAAAAAAGGGAAATAAATCAAAGTCGGGTCAGATCTGGTTAATCGGGTCAGATTTGAGGTTGGGCTAGAATCTGGGCCGAACAAGGAATAGGGACTTAAAAAGTTTAAATAGAAAGTGGGCTGAATTCGAATTGGGCCTAATGAATAAAAATTGAAATTTGTTAATTTGGGCTGTAGTCACATTGAGCCCAAGAGCTTGCTCGAGTTGACCCAACCCGGGCCCTCTGGATCCGGGTCAGACCGGCTAATTGGACCGGGTTCCTTGACCCGGTCCGAAGTCCTTTTTCCCGATATAAAAAAATTCAGAAAATTCAGAAAAATAAAAAATGTGAGAAAAGCTAAAAATGTAGAATTCTCTTGGCTTAGGGCTTTAATAAACACTTTAGGTTTGAATAATATTTGATCCCAAAATTGAATAAGCCTTTAGGGCTTTACCTTAGGGATTTTTTATTGTTTTTTTTAGAGACGATGCTAGGTTGCTGTTTGTGCACTTTCATTTTGATTTCATTTGATTGCGCGCTTTTAATTCATTGATTGTTGTTTTCCCCTTTTAGAATGGTTAGGATGCAAATTCAAAATTCTCGACTAGTAAAAGACAGCCGTGATATTTTGGTTAGCAAATAGTTAAGTTTAGGTACCGAAAGGGCATTAGTTGAAAAATTAATGTAATCAAGTCCCCGATCCCTAAAAATCTCTAGTTGCGTATGTTTTCGAGATAACACTCTCGCATCTCGATTAGGGTTTCTAGCCGACCCTTAATCGTAACTAGTGATGACTCTTATCGAATAAATATATTTAAACAACTAATATTGCGCGAGGTATGGACTTGGGGGAAGTGAACTGTAATAGGCCTAAGGTTGGGGGTGGGCATGGTTTGGGTAGTATGTGTTTTGAGTCTGATGAGCAAAATAGGTCTGTTGTGTTGGTGGGGGAGGGATAATTTGAGGATTGTATCTTTCTCGACATGTGGCAACTTTGTGACCCGGGCAACGGCACAGCTGGCAGAACAACACATTTGAACGACGGCCACGATTAGTTGGAGGTTGATGGGGTGCCAGTGAGGTGGGAATTGGGAGAATTCCATTGTGCTGTCTTGGATTGTACCCCGAGGAGTTTCGGGAAGATTGTGAAAACTGGTTCTGGCAACTTTGAAACGAAGGAAAACTCCTTTTTCATTTTATCTTTTATTTTCCTCCTTCGATACGTAGCTGTAATAAAATTGCAAAATGCATAAAAAAAAAAGGTTATTTCAGATTTAGGACTTATGCTTCAGTTAACATAATAATTAAAAAATTATTAAAAATTTCAAGTGTTTCAAATTAAATAAGAGTTTATATGAGAATTCCGAAAATTCTAGAAAAAGCTAAAATATAAAAGTAATTGTATTGTTCACTCTTCGCAATATTCATAAAATGATTAAAATAAATTGGTTTACAATATATAGAAATCGGGGCCTAATTCCAAAAAAAAACACCAACTTTAGGTTGAGGGATAATTCTAGCCCGAACTTTTTTTTGTTCCATAAAAAAGCACAAACTTTAGGTCGAGGGACAATTCTAGCCCGAACTTTTTTTTGTCCCGTAAAAAAGCACAAACTTTAGGTTGAGTGACAATTCCAGCCCCAATTTTTTTTTTTGTCTCATTAAAAATCACCAACTTTCATCATGATCCCAAATCTGGCCCCCTGTTGACTTTCACCATTGTTTGAGAAAGAAGGTTATGGTGATGAGCTTGGCGAATCTCGTCCATGGCGTCTGTCGACAAGCAGTGGTCAGTTTTAGATTACGTTTAGCCAGAGAGATTCAATTTGGAGATATTTTTGACTTGTCAGTGAACTGAAGAAGATGAACAGTTTTACCGTTATTCTTCAAATTGTGGCAAGCCACATGGATTTATTGCTAATGTAAAATAGTCGAGTTAGATAATCAATGGTTCTAAGTCAATGGAGGCCGGATTTGGGATTTAAGTCAAAGTTAGTGCTTTTTTATGAGACAAAAAAAAGTTGGGGCCAGAATTGTCCCTCGACCTAAAGTTAGTGTTTTTTTACGGGACAAAAAATGGTTCGGGCCAAAATTGTTCCTTGACCTAAAGTTGGTGCTTTTTTATGAGACAAAAGAAAGTTCAGGCTAGAATTGTCCCTAGACTTAAAGTTGGTGCTTTTTTTTGGAATTAACCCTAGAAATCGGCACGCAAGATGTGACATATTTTTGCACAGCTTTATAAATTTTAATACTTTTCCTTTTCAAAATAGCAGAGGACAAGTGATGATAAAACTTAAAAGTTGATTGGAAAAATTATCCAATCCTGTTTCTTCCTTTTCCATTTATGTAAACTCTCTTGACATTTCCAAAGTGGCAAATATTGACTCACATGAAAAGAAATAAAAACTCAAATTAGTTAAAAAAGTTCCTGAATTTATTACATATTGGTATTGTCACATGCTTTCATTTGAGATTTGTGCCTTTTTAACAAAAACTATTTCCTATCAGAGTTGTTAATGGCTTGATTTGCATTGGAAAGATGTGAAGAAAAGGAAGTTTCATTTGGTGAGAAAAGCACCCATGGTCACCCCCCAGCCTTTCCAGTTTTAACACCAAAAAGTAGACAATACATATCACACGAAATGCGGTACTCTTTCCGGTTTTCACACCAAAAAGAAAATGTGCCACACAGAACAACAGGTCCGGATTACATTGATCAGCACACAAACAATTTACAATTCAGCACAGGGAGAGCAAACAACTGTCTATCCAACAATGGCTTGTGGAAGTTCAATCACACCATCAGATACAAATGCATATAAGGCGGGAAATAGTCCAACAATACTTTCAATACTAATTGTACTCGTAGACTTGGGACTCCAGCCTCAGGTCCTGTTTCCACCATTCGCGAATACTGTGCGCCTTCATGAACTCCAGCGGCGGATCTAAATTGATTGTTAGATTTGCCGACGGGATGAGGTGCAAAGGCTCTGCCTGCTTCCCCTTCTTCTTGCTCTTGAATATCGATCCCGAAGAATGATGACTAGCAACCCTCTGGATAGCTCCTGCTCCCTTCTTTTGCATCCAGTCTCGGTGCTCAAAATAGCCAATGTATCCCGAGCAGATGTAATCTTCTGCGTTGACAAACAGCTGAGGAACCCAAGGGGACAAAGCCGCAAAAGAATCGGCGGATTGATTCAGCTGTTGCAGAGACTTCTTAGCTAACGCCCCTAAAGCACTGGCCGTGCTGTTGAGTATCTGGATACCCCGCTTCCATTTCTTGTTCTTGATCTTCTCGATTGGGGCAGATAAATAAGGCGGATTGAAGAGGAAAGACTCGAGATACGATCCGTCTTTGGCCATGTTCTTTCCAGCTTGCAGAGCAATGGCAGACCCCAGGGAGTGGCCAGCTAACCAGACCCTAGAATCGCCCGCGGTTGCAACCGTGTTTCGTACCTCCTGCATGGCAGTCTTGAAACGAGAGGTGGAGTGGAGCCCTTGCTGGATCAATTTAAAATCCAGCATAATATCTTGCAAGACTGATCCTATATTGAGCAAGGTGCCTCGGAAGGCGACCACGAAATGTGGTCCATCTGCTGAGTGGTTAAGCTTATACTTGAAGATGGCACCGAAGATAGAAGAGTCGGCCTTATCTACGACTTTGCGCTGCAACTGAAAATTGAAAAATTCCCACCAACGAGGAGCAAGAGCCTGGGAACCTTCACGTTCCTCCTGGCGGTCCCGCTCTAAGACATAGACAGATTCAACCAAACAAGCAGCAACCGATCTCCGATGATCTGCATTATTCCTATGTTAGAAGTCCAAGAAATGTTAGTTTCGTCAATATGTTTGCTGATAAGAAACTCTGTAGCTGGACTAAGCTAAATGCTCATGTCATCGTTTCATGCCAAAAGAAAAGGAAACTCGAGAGCCAAACATCAGATTTGAGAGAAGTTTAAAATGCTTATATTTTCAAAAAAGCTTCTCATGCGCTCTGAACTTGGTGCAGAACGAAAAGTTGGCACTCCACACATGCTGCTTCTGTCCAAAAACTTCGAACTGGGTGTCTCCATGAATTGATAGAGTATTACATGGTAACCATGGAGGACGAAGTTACAATATGTGGTGCATGTGCAGGCAAATCAACACTTAGTGATAACAGCTTATGACATATTAAAGGTCACATATCTAGCAAAAACTCCTCATTTTCGGCATACTATCGAGCAAAACTCTACGATGAAGAAATCGGATATATGCGTCCCCCAGCTTAAATGAATTGCAAGGGGGAGACAAGCGACCATGGCGCATTAGGGAAGTTCATCTGTTAAGAACACAAATTAACTACAGAAGTAGATGGAAATTACCCCTTAGATGGACCTTCTTAATCGGTTTTTTTACCAAGTATAAACCCCGCTAGGCCATGTTAAGTTATGGAAAAGTTGAACAGCTAGGACAGTGCTTAGTTTTGCATATTCAAAAAGTCCAGTACGACACAATAATTAGTCATCGCCATATAATTGAGACAAAGGTGAAGGAAACTCTCTGGGCATTTTGATAAGACACGATGGAAACTTAAAAGGCATGACTTGGCCTTTTGTTCAATGAGGAAAGAGAATACGAGGGGTCTTACCAGTCAACCTGAGTAAGGTCTGAGGGCCCTGAAAGGTCAAAACTTCCCCTCTTAGAGGCCATAATCCCACAGGTTCAATTAAAACTTCTCCTTTGTATCTCTGAAAGCTGCTCAGAAATGAACATTCGATATGGCAGTTAGTAAATAACAATGGCTAGTGTCGTGTGCATAACTGCACATCCATATTCGTACTCGACTCCCTCCGCTATAATTAAATCTGTGTACTATAAGAATGATCAACCATATATCTTTTTCAACACATACAACTAATATAGGCTGCCTCATGAAGTTTTAAGTTCCATCCAATTATTATGCGTCAGGGACCTTCTTTTTCTTCAGTAGTCTTGCAAAGTTCGGGGAGAAAAGTAATCTGTTGCGACACTAATAATTTGGACTGTCGAAGCATGAGCTTTAAGGTCGACATGTCCACACCAGTAGATCCAGTCACTAAAAGAGTACCTACAAAGATGTTCGGGAGGGAGTTGAGCTGGCGCAAATGATTCGGAATAATCTTCCCTGTTCATATTATGTCTTATTCTACATCCTATCGACTTTCACTTTTTTGATTCCGTTAAAAAAAAGAACTTCCACTTTTTCTCCTTTCCCTATTTGGTAGTCTGTTCGACAATTTTGTTACGACTTAAAAGTTGAAAAAAAAATTTCTTCCAAAGTGTCTTTTCAGATTTTTGTTGCATAATAATCTGTCACCATCCAAGGAGAACTTGCACTGGATTGTTCACAATGACATCCAATTCAATCCAAACAATCTCACAATCAATATCCACATGGCAATGTAACAATAGATAAAATTCAATCAAATGGACAGAAACAGGTCATGAGAGGTGGACCGATTAAGCTTGCATTTTTCTAACTAGGCTTAAGTTGATACAGATTTTTTATTAGACATATCTGCACCCTTTTCCCAGATGGATTGCTGGGTTGTAGGTCAAACTGGATTTTGTTTAGCAATGGCCATGTGTCCCGAGATAATCCCATTTTTTAAACATTGGAAATGTGGTTTTGAACATTGGTCTCGTCTTTTGTGCCTTGTAATATAGTGATAACCAAGCAGGTAGAAAGAGATCCCAATGAAAGAGGAAGACAAACAAAGTATGATGACATCCAAATTCAAGACAAATCCAGCATACCATATCTTTTTCCATCAAAAGTAATACACATCTCTTCATTGGCTTATGCAAACTTTTTTTACTCTCAAATTCAACCCACAGTGTGCTTCTTATTGTTATCTTATTGTTGCCACATCAACCAAGCACAACGCAAACCAGAAAACACGCATAGACACACCTGAAGAAGGCACATGGCCACTCAAACAGGCACGCAAACACACGTCGCCTGAATTCTACTCTTCCTTTTATTTATCATTATTCTTCCCTTACACAACCCACTTGGACGAATTCGTCAGGTCGAATAATCAAATAGCATAGTTAAAAATACCAATTAAAAGTTACAGATAATTTTTTATTTACATTTATTTATATATTCTTTATACTTACCTCCTTTTTTTGTTTCTATATAAAATATATAATTCTCTTTATTACTATTATTATTACTATTATTTTTTCTTATTAAATAAAATAGCAATAAAAAATATTTATTGGGGTTGTTACTATATAAATTAAATAAACCAAGCAGGCCTTTTATGAAACAGATCTTTTAGATCTCTTTCTCTCTTTTTTTTCTTTTTTACGATTCCCCAAATCGAAATATCATAATCTTTCTTCCTATTCGCATGTGCCATGAAAACCCATATGAATTTGAGCAAAATTACCGAACGTTTGACCTCTATTGCAGCTTGCTACTGTAACTGTCTCATCTAAAAAAAAGGGCACAAACATACGCAAAAGAAAAAGGACTAAACGAACCTCGTCCATTGCAATTTACTTAAAACATCCACAACATGAATCATCACACCCATGACAATTTGACAGAGTGAAGTTCACTCCTCTCGCTTTTTGACGTCAAAATCGGTCGTCAGGAATCAGAACTTCAACGTCGCCAAGGCAGAATCACAGCCTCAACACGTACACACAAAAGAGAAAGGATCCACGGACAGGACACAGATGTAAGCCCAAATCAGAGAAACAAAGAAGCAGCATTACCTCAAAGAATCATGCAGAGAACGGATCCGATGAGGTGGGAGAAAGAGTAGTCAGTGTTAGATCCAGAACTCTGATTTGCTCGTCGCGACACACTTTGTCTCGTCTTTGTTTCGTCTTCGTCAAACCAAAGTCTTTCTTTCAGGAATATTTTACTAGGACCCGAGGAAACCCCGTTGTTTGACATGTCTCCGTTGACAAGTCGCGAATGCGACGGCCACAAAGGGGCAGAACGTCGTGTTATAAAATCATGAAGAATGCTTATTGGCTTTTGACTTACTTTTTTTGTTCAGTACAAATTATAAAGCCAATTTTGCAGCTTTTCTTGTTGTTCTTCCCCATTTCTTTCTCGCGTCATTGGAGGTAAAGAGAGCAAAGTCAACTTGAGTATCCAGAAATGTTGTTCATATAGAAATAGGTTTTGCAATACCTTTCTGGATTAGATTAGGTCATAATTGGTTCGTTATTTTCTGGTTTATGTAAGTAAGATGAGTATTGGACGGGGTCATTACACATCCAATCGCAATTGCTTTTTTTACGTGTTAAATTATGCCTCGAATTTGAGGTCACGAACAAACTAGAAAAGCTCCAATGGTTGATGGGATTTGGTGCGTGAAAATAGGAAATATATTCCTATTACTCTTCTTCAGAGAAATCACATAAGGAAGTTTTCTTATTAAGTTTGATCGGCCAACTTTCATTGTTGGGGCTCACATTTTTAATATAATATATGTTAGTTTGTGGAGTCCAGCAAATGTGTCAGAAAAGAAGTGAATTATATTAGGAAAGTTGTTGCTCCTTCGTCTTCTTTGGGGCACAAGGGTTTTGACCGTAAAAAGAGTATATATGTATATGTATTCTTTGTGGAGTCCAGCAAGTGTGATAGTTAATGTTCTTACAAAAGATTACGGGTGAGCGGTTCCCGGTCCGGTCCGGTTCCAAGGTGGAACCGGGAACCGGACCGAGAGAACCGGTTCCCAATTTTGAGAACCGCGGACCGAACCGATTGGTTCTAGGACCGGGAACCGGACGGGACCATCGGTCCGGTCCGGTCCAATAGAACCGGTTACTTAGAGTTTAGGATTTTTTTTTGTCAAACACTTAAGGTTTGGTTCACATTTTGCTAATTTTTGTCAATAAATTTATGTCAATGAAGTCCACTTAGGGTTTAATTCACATTTTACTATTTTTTATCAATGAATTTATGATAATGAAGTTCACTTAGAGTTTAGTTCACATTTTATTAATTTTTTTAAAGAAAAAAATAACAAAAATATATATTAAATAGTCGGTCCGGTCCGGTCGGTCCGGTCCAGTCCGGTTCCCCGTTGGAACCGGGAACCGGACCGCCTTTAAAACCGGTTCCGCTTTTAGGAACCGGGAACCGGACCGATAGTCCCGAGAACCGGACCAAACTCGTCAGTCCGGTCCGGTCCGGTCCGGTCCCAATTTGGACGGTCCAAGTTGCTCACCCCTACACGAGATGCCACATTACATGAATTTGAACTAATGGCATCGAAGTGAGGTAGGATTCTAATGAACCGGTCTTCACCGTCGTTTGGTAAAGCTCGGAAGTGATAAGTTATATCTTAAACAAAATTAGAACAATTACAGAGATAATAGAAAAATTAACACACGAATTTACCTAGATTCACCATAGAATAGGGTTACGTCTTACAAAACGATTCTACTATGATATTTAAGTTTTACAACCACAACCACTCATTACAATGATCTCTCATACGAGTATAATATATAGGACTTAAAATGGGTCCAAAGTTCAAGGCTATCCGAATCTCTTTAATTTTATAATAAATGGGTAAGCAAACCCTGCTAGCCCATGTTAAGTTATGGAAAAGTTGAACAGCTAGGACAATGCCTAGTTTTGCACATTCAAAAAGTCCAGTATGACAGTAATTAGTCATCGCCAAATAATTGAGACAAAGGTGAAGGATACTCTCTGGGAATTTTGATAAGACATGATGGAAACTTAAAATGTATGACTTGAGCCTTTTGTTCAGTGAGGAAAGAGAATCCAAAGGTCTTACCAATCAACACAAGGTACAAGGGCCTTGAAAGGTCAAATCTTTTACTCTTAGAGACCATAATCCTACATATTCAATTAAGACTTCTTCCTTGTATCCTTGAAAGCTGCTCATAAATGAACATATATATTGCGGTTAGTAAATGACAATGGACATCCATATTTGTACCCTTCACCGTAATTAAATCTATGTATTATAAGGATTAACTGCGTATCTTTTTCAACACATACAAGTATTTTAAGCTGCCTCATGAAGTTTTAAGTTCCATCCAATTACTATGCTTTAGGGACCTTCTTTTTCTTCAATAGTCACTAAAGAGTACCTACAAAGTTTGGGAGGGAGTTGAGCTAAGCCCAAATGATTCTGAATATTCTTCCCTCTTCAGGTTATGCCTTAATCTGCATCCTATCAACTTCCACTTATACCAAAAATAAGATCGAGCAGATTATTATGCAGCAAAGATTCTGAAAAGACACCGGGGAAGAGTATATTTTTTTGCGACTTTTAGGTCGTAACAAAATGCTGGAGTAGATTACCAAATAGGAAAAGGAGAAAAAAAGTGAAAGTTTGATTATATAAAAGATCGTCACCATCCCCAAGCTATGATTCTTTGTGAAGAAAATTCAAAATAGTCTGAGGAGATAACTTGCACTGGATTGTTCACAATGACATCCAGTTCATTCCAAACAATCGCACAATCAAATTGCACATGCGCACTCAAACAGGCACGCAAACGCACATCGCGTCAATTCTACTCTTCCTTTTATTTTTCATTATTCTGCAATTATATAATCTACATGAACGAATTCGTTAGAACGATAATTGAATAGCATACGTAAAAATATCGGTATTTCATTGATTTAAAAGCAAAAGTGCATACCATTTATATTTATATTTATTTATATATTGATTTATAATTATTTTCTTTTTTTGTTTCTATATAAATTCTAAATGATTCTCTTCCTCATCTAAAAAAAAAGGGCATGAACATACGCAAAAACCTGAACTATTCACAATAATTCAATGAACTTGACCAAAAAATGGGAGTGCAATAACTTTTTTACGGTGATCACTTGAGTGCTAAAAATTTGAAAAATTGATTACTCAAGTGCTATCGGCTATTTGCATCACCGGAAAATCAGACGTGGATGCCAGTCGTCTTACGTGGCATTGCTAATGCTAACGTAGACAATTAATTAAAAAAAAATCCACGTCGGAATGGAAACTTAATAAAAAAATCCATGTAGGATGATTTGCTAGAAATGGCACTCAAAGAATTGATTTTACTCCAATGTGATACTTAAGTGAGCGAAAAAAAAAATTTTATAACACTCAAGTAAGAGTCGTATGAAAGTTATGGTACTCCAGCTGTTCTTATCCTTATAAGATTGTCACCATCCCCAAGCTATGATTCTTCATGAAGAAAATTCATAGTACTCCAAGGAGAGAACTTGCACTGGATTGTTCGGATTGCTCATAATGACAACCAATTCATTCCAAACAATCTCACAATCAATTAAAATGGACAGAAACTGGTCATGAGAGGTGGACCGGTTAAGCTTGAGTTTTTTTATAACTTAGGCTTAAGATGATGCAGATTTTTTTATTAGACATATCTTCACCCTTTTCCCAGATGGATTGCTGGGTCGCAGGTCAAATTGGATTTTATTTAGCAATGACTATGTGTCCCGAGATATTCCCATTTTTTGAACCTTTGAAATGTGGTTTTGAACATTGGTCTCGTCTTTTGTACCTTGTACTATAGTGATAGCCAAGCAGGTAGAAAGAGATCCCATGAAGAAGGGCAGAATAGGACAAACAAAGTGTGATGACATCCAAATTCAAAACAAATCCAGCATACCATATCTTTTTCCATCAAAAGTAATGCGCATCTCTTCGTTGGCTTATACAAACTTTTATACTTTCAAATTCAACCCAAAGTTTGCTTCTTTTTGTTCTCTTATTGTTGCCACATTAAACAAGCACAACGCACACCAGAAAACACACAGAGACAGACCTGAAAAAGGTACATGCCACCTCAAACAGGCACGCAAACACACATACTGAGGACGTACGCCATCTCGTGTGGGTCGAAAACTGATATGAATTTGAGCAAAGTTACCAGACGTTTGACCTCTATTGCAGCTTACTAATATAGCTGCCTCATCTCAAAAAGGGCACATAAGCGAAACCTGACCTATCCACAATAATTCTATGAAAAACCCACTAAAAGATTGACGAGGTTCTGCACAACTACTCCACTTTCCGCCAGAGAGAGCAATTCCTTAACATGCAGTGACATATGCAAAACCCCCCAAAAGAAAAATGACTAACCGAACCTCGTCCGTTGCAATTACTTGACATCCAACAACATGAAACATCACGCCCATGGCATTTCGACAAAGTTCATTCCTTTCACTTTTTGACCTCAAATTCGATCATCAGGGATCGGAACTTCAATGTCCCACAGGGCAAAACGACAACCTCAACACGTAACACAAAGAGAAAGGGCCTGCGGATACAAATGTAACCCAGATTAGAAACAAGAAGCGTACCTGAAACGGATCTGATGAGGTGCGAGAAAGAGTCACAGGTAGATCCAGAACTCACCTTTGCTCGTTGCGACAAACTTTGATCTTCTTCTTCTTCTTCTTTCTTCTTTTTTTTTTTTTGTTTTAAGTTGAAGACAAACTATGGTCTTCAAACGGAAGTCTTCCCTGAAGTTGCAGGGATGTTGACCTACGACGACTACGCGAGAGCGAAAGGCAAAGGTTCTGAGAAGCGCCGTCGGTTGACATGTCTCTGTTAGTGGCAAGTAGTTGAATGCAACGGTCATAACGGGGCGGAACGTCTTACAAGTTTTTTTTTTTTTTTTGGTTGTCCGTGAGAGGGAAAAGGCGAAAACAAAAACAGAAAGAAGAAAAGAAAAGAAGAGAAAAAGAAAAAAAAAATTAAAGAAGGAAAAGAGAAGAAAAGAAAAAAAAAAGAAAAAAAAGAAAACAATATTAATAAAAATTTTGAAAAAATATTAAAAATTATTTACATCAATGCCGGCTGTGTCACGTATGATTATCATTGTTCGAAAAATGCGTTATAACTTGCTACTAAAGGAGTTCGTAATAAGTTGAAACGCTAAGGCATTTTATTAAGCTTCGAATAAGACAAGAAATAGACAATTTTGTCCCGTGAAATTATTCTATATTTAATTGCTTGCGTTTGCATTATCAAATCATGAAAAATGCTCATTGACTTTTGAATTAGTCTTTTGTTCAGTACAAATTATAAAGACGATGTTGCCACCCTTCTTGTTATTTTTCCCTATTTCTTGCTTGCGTCATTGGAAGTAACAGAAAGCAAGCTCAACTTGAGTTTGCAAAAATGCTATTTCTAGATTGGATTAGGTCAAAATCGGTTGGTTATCTTCTGGAATATGTAAGTAAGGTGAGTATTGGACGGCGTCATTACACATCCAATTGCAATTATTGCTTCACCTGCTAATGATCTTGTAATAATCGAACAATTCAGTTTTCGAACGATACAAATTGATGTATCATTGCACGCATTACAGACGGAAGGAACACCTATACATGTATATCGTCCTTCAGTGTGAAGAAATAATGTCTTCAACGCCAGACCAACAACTGCGTCGACCACAGATACCTTCCATTAATATGTGATTGGCCGCGACGACAAAAGTATAATTGATCCCATATTTAATTACTCCTGTGAAAAGAGAAGCTTTGGAAGCGAGCAATACGTTTTTTGGTGAGACAGCACTCATGGTCCCCCAACCTTTCTTTAAGTTATAAACTAGATCTGACTTATGCTGTAAAACGGTGGGTTTAGCATCATGACAATTCCATAAAGGTGTTGAAGACTTCGTGTACTCACAACCACAAACAAGGTGGCATTGCTTCAAACTCCAAACTGAAAAATGACAAGAGGACCCTCTCTCTCTCTCTCTCTCTCTCTCTCTCTCTCTCTCTCTCTCTCTCTCTCTCTCTCATATAACAAACTTAAAACCCACCTTTCACTTTCAATCTGACGGTGTATTTGGGATTGTTCATGTACTCTTTAGGGATCACTTGAGCAGCTTGACCATTTTCCATTATTGGTGGGCTAAACTGTGTCCTCAGTTCAGAAGCCGAAGTTAGAGGAAACCCAATACGAATGCAATACTCTTTCCAGTTTTGACATCAAAAAGAGAATGTGCCACAGAACTCAATCTGGCATCTCTACAGCAGGTCCGGATTATATTGATCTGCAGACAAACAACACAGCAAAGGGAGAGCAAACAACCGCCTATCCAATGCCTAGTGGAAGTTCAATCACACCATCAGATACAAATGCATGCACAACATGAAATAGTCCAATAATGCCACCAATACTAACTGTATAAGTAAACTTTGGACTGCAGCTTCAGGTCGTGTTTCCACCATTGGTGAATGCCATGCGCCCTCTTGAACTCCAGCGACGGATTTAAATTGATTGTTAGATTTGCGGACGGGATGAGGTGCAAAGGCTCTGCCTGCTTCCCTATCGCGCTCATGAACAGCGATCCCAAAGAATGCTGAGTAGCTAACTTCTCAATAGCTCCCGCTCCGATCTCTTGCATATTGTTTCGGTGCTCGAAATAGCCAATGTATTCCGAGCAGACGTTATCGGCTGCATTGACATAGAGTTGAGGGACCCAAGCGGACAAAGCCGTAAAAAAATTGGCGGATTGATTCCTGAGTTGCGGAGCCTTCATGGCTAACGTGAGCCCTGCCGTGATCACGCTGTTGGCGAAGCGAATACCGTGCTTCACTTTCTTGTTCTTGATCTTCTCGATCGGGGCAGACACATAAGGCGGATTGAAGAGGAAAGACTTGAGAAACGATCCCGTTTTGGCCATGTTCTTTCCAGCTAGCAGAGCAATGGCAGACCCCAGGGAGTGGCCAGCTAACCAGACCCTAGAATCGCCGGCGGTCGCAACCATGTTTCGTACCGCCTGCATGGCAGTCTCAAATCGAGATGTGGAGTGGAGCCCATGCTGGATCAAGTGAAGATCCAGCTTAATATCTCGAGAGACTGATTCTTTCTTGGTTATGGTGCCTCGGAAGGCGACCACGAAATGCGGTCCATCTGCTGAGTGGTTACTTGAGGATGATGGAGGCTTATACTCGAAGATGGCACCGAAGATAGACAAGTCGACATTATCTACGAGTTTGCGCAGCAACCGGAAGTTAAAAAATTCCCACCAAGGAGGAGCAAGAGCCTGGGGACCTTCACGTTTCTCCTGGCGGTCCCGCTCTAAGATATAGACACCTTGAACCAAACAAGCAGCAACCGACCTCCGATGATGTGCATTATTCCTATGTTAGAAGTCCAAGAAACGTTATTTTCGTCAATATTTTTGCTAATAATAAACTCTGTAGCTAGACTAAGCTAAATGCTCATATCATCATTTTATGCGAAAAGAAAAAGAAACTTGAGAGCCAAACAATAAATTTGAGAGAAGTTTAAAATGCCATATTTTCGAAAAAGCTTCTCATGCAGTCTGAACTTGGTGCAGAACGAAAAGTTGGCACCCCACACATGCTGTTTCTGTCCAAAACTACGAACTAGATGTGTTATGAACCAATAGAGTATTCCATGGCAATCGTGGAGGACAAAGTTACGGTATGTGGTGCATGTGCGGGCAAATCAACACTCAGCGATAACAGCCTATGAGATATAAAGGTCACATGTCTAGCCAAACTCTTCCTTTTTGGCTCAGTATCTAGCAAAACTCTATGATGAAGTAATTGGAGATATGTGTCCCCCAGCTAAAATGAATTCCAAGGGAAGACAAGTGCCCGTAGCACATTAGGGAAGTTCGTCTGTTAAGAACACAAATTAAATACAGAAGTAGATGGAAGTTACACCATTTATGCACATTCTTAGTCGGTTTTTTCTCTTACTATAAACCCCGCTAGTCCATGTTAAGTTATGGAAAAGTTGAACAGCTAGAACAGTGCTTAGTTTTGCATGTTCAAAAAATCCAGTATGACGCAGTAATTAGCCATCGCCAAATAATTGAGACAAAAGTGAAGGAAACTCTCTGGGTATTTTGATAAGACATGACGGAAACTTAAAAAGTATGACTCGGAGCTTCTTTTCAATGAGGAAAAAGAATCTGAACGTCTTACCAGTCAACGCGAGTAAGGTACAAGGGCCCTGAAAGGTCAAAACTTTCCCTCTCAGAGGCCATAATCCCAGAGGTTCATTTAAGACTTCTTCTTTGTATCCCTGAAAACTGCTCACAATTGAACATTCCATATGGCAGTTAGTAAATGGGAATGGCTAGTGACGTGTGCATAACTGCACATCCATATTTGTACTTGACTCCCTTCACCGTAATTAAATCTATGTACTATAAGGATCAACTGTGTATCCTTTTTAACATATACAACTATTTCAAGCTGCCTCATATCTGACCAAAAAAAAAAGCTGCCTCATGAAGTTTTAGTTCCGTCCAACTATTATGCATCGGGGACCTTCTTTTTCTTCAATATTCATGTAAAGTTCAGGGAGAAAAGTAATCTGCTGAAACACTAATAATTTGGGCTGTCGAAGTATGAGCTTAATGGTCAACGTGTCCAGACTAGTAGATCCAGTGACCAAAAGAGTACCTACAAAGAGGTTCAAGAGGGAGTTGAGCTGGCCCAAATGATTCTGAATAATCTTCCCTCTGCAGATTGTGCCTTAATCTACATCCTATCAACTTCCACTTATCCCAAAAAGATCGAGCAGATTATTATGCCACAAAAATCCGAAAAGACACTGACAAAGAATATTTTGTTGCAACTTTTAAGTCGTATCAAAATGGTCAAACAGATTACCGAATAGGAAAAGGAGAAATGGTGGAAGTTTGATTCTATAAAAGATCGTCACCATCCCCAAGCTATGATACTCCACAAAGAAAATTCAAAATACTCCAAGGAGAGAACTTGCACTGGATTTCCAACCAAAAAAAGAGAAGAACTTGCACTAGATTGCTCATAAAGACATCCAATTCATTCCAAACAATCTCACAATCAATATGCACACGACAAGGTAACAATAGATGGGTTCAATTAAATTGACAGAAACAGGTCATGAGAAGTGGACCGATTAAGCTTGAGTTTTTCTAACTTAGCTTAAGTTGATACAGTTTTTTTATTAGACATATCTGCACCCTTTTCCCAGATGGATTGCCGGGTCGCAGGTCAAACTGGATTTTGTTTAGCAATGACCATGTGTCCCGAGATATTCCCAAATTTAAACATTGGAAATGTGGTTTGGACATTGGTCTCGTCTTTTGTACCTTGTAATATAGTGATAGCCAAGCAGATGGATTGCTGGGTCGCAGGTCAAACTGGATTTTGTTTAGCAATGACCATGTGTCCAAAGATATTCCCAAATTTAAACATTGGAAATGTGGTTTTGGACATTGGTCTCGTCTTTTGTACCTTGTAATATAGTGATAGCCAAGCAGGTAGAAAGAGATACCAATGAAAAAGGCATAATAGGATAAACAAATTGTGATGACATCCAATTCAAAACAAATCCAGCATACCATATCTTTTTACATCAAAAGTAATGCACATCTCTTCATTGGCTTATACAAACTTTTTTACTTTCAAATTCAACCCAGTGTGCTTCTTATTGTTTCCACATCAAATAAGCACAACGCACACCATAAAACACACATAGACAGACCCGAAAAATGATACATGCGCACTCAAACAGGCACGCAAGCACACACATACTGTCGACGCCATCGCGTGTGCATTGAAAACCGATACGAATTTGAGCAAAATTACCAAACGTTTGACCTCTATTGCAGCATACTAATATAATTGCCTCATCTCAAAAAGGGCATAAACATACGCGAAAGATGACCTATTCACAACAATTCAATGAAAAAACCCACTAAAAGATTAACGAGGTTCTGCACAACCACTCCACTATCAGCCAGAGAGAGAGAGAGAGAGAGAGAGAGAAATTCCTCGACCTGCAGTGACATATGCAAAACCCCACAAAAGAAAAAGGACTGACCGGACCTCGTCCATTTGCAATTACTGAACATCCACAATACGAAACATCGCGCCCGTGGGCATTTTGACAAAGTCCATTCCTTTCACTTTTCGACCTCAAAATCGATCGTCAGCAATCGGAACTTCAATGTCGCCGAGGCAAAATCACAATCTCAACACGTACACAAATGCAAACCCAAATCAGAGAAACGAAGAAGCATACCTCAAGAAATCACGCAGAGACCGGATCTGATGAGAGGCGCGAGAAAGAGTCACGGGTGGTAGATCCAGAACTCAGATTCTGTCGCCTCTCTTTGTCAAACGAAAGTCTTCCTCGCGGGGATGTTCTCCCAACGGGAGAGCGAGAGGCGAGGATCTGAGAAAACGCCGTCGTTTGACGTCTCCGTGGGCAAGTCGTTGAATGCAACGGGCCACGTTTTCAACTTGATTAGTTTTAATGCATTTTGCCAAACTCTGACTGAGACAGGAATAGACAAATTATTTTTTTTGTTTCAGTACAAATTCTAAAGGCAATTCTCCAGCTTTTCTTATTATTTTTCCCCATTTCTTTATTGCGAGAGCAAAATTAACTTGAGTATCCAAAAATGTCGTTCATATAGAGTACGTTTTGCGATATTTTCTCGGTTGGATTGGGTCATAATTGGTTGGTCATTTTCTGATTTGTGTGAGCAAAGGTGAATACTAATGGGGGGTCACCACGCATCCAATTGCAATTGCACTAATCAAACAATTCAGTCTGTCGGATGATACAAATTGACGTGTCCTTGCACGCATTACAGAGGGAAGGAAAACCAAAACCGATACATGTATATCGTCATTCACTGTGAAAAATGAATGTCTTCAGCGCCAGACCAACAGCCGCGTCGATCAGGTGCTCATTCTTCAACAGATATCCTCCATCAATGTGATTGGCAGCGACGACAAAAGCAGAACTGATCCCATATTAAATTACTCGAGCGAAAAAGAGAAGCTTTGGAAGTGAGCAATGCAGTTTTCACTTGGACCAGGCAACAGCGTCGATTTCAGTTTGAGCACTCCTGTACAACTCGAGTCTCTTTGAAAGAGCACTACGTCGCTCCATGACCGCTGGATCCTCATTCAATAACGATGATAGACGCTTTTGCTGCACAGGATTTTTAGATTCAGTATAATAATGACTCGATGAAAAAGAACCATCAGGAGAAATCGTCTCATTCTCACCTCCATTGCACCAAGTTCAGTGAAGAAACGGTCGAGGAGGCTTCGTTTGGCCTCCCTTACTTGACAGTGCACGATGGATTTAGGAATGGAGTGGCGCAGGGTTGCACAGACCATATTGACGTAAGACAGAACTGTCGATCCTGTTTTACATTTTGTGAAAAGGAACTTCGACAATCAGTACCAGGTAACTTATTAACTTAGACCGATCGTCATAGTTTCGCCATAAATGATTGACAAATAGGAATTCCACATATCTCACCTATCCGCCTGAGATATGAATCATTGTATCTGTCGAATAGTGAATGTGTGGGGTTGCCACCCTTCTCGACATCTTGAGGGAGCTTCCGGAAAAAGTCAACAGTTAGGTAACTACATTCCATGTCGACCAGCTTAAGTGTTGCTTTCTTGCTCTCTTCCCTCATTCTCTCGAGCGAATCACAAGCAGCGTTAGTGACTTCCACTCTGAGACCAGGATACTGCTTTAGCTCCTGGAGTAGAAGAATATATACCAAGTGTTAGCCAGACTGCCCGTTTTATATGTTAAGAGGTTTATGTGATGCGTACAAATTAAAGAGAAATAACAATAGAAATTAAAATTGGGCTCTAAAAAAGCAAGAATTGCGCATGAAGTTATTATTAACCCTTTAAAACAACATGATGCTCAAAATGCAAATTAAATTCGGTGCGTAGAGACCAATAAGCATGCGCCAGAAATTATTAGAACAACCAGGGAATCTAATTGGGAAAGCAAACATCATCCAACTTTAAAAGCAGTTCTCAAGAAGTTGTTTCCTAAACCCAATTTTTTCATCTTTTTCCTTCTTAAGGTTGAAAATTGAAGTTTTAACTTCAAACAATCGAGACATAAATGCTCCCAGGTACCTCTCATCCATAGGAACAATTCTGAAGAAAGAACCCCAAAGAACATACTAATAACCAATCACAACCCAGAATATTCAAGATGCTTGAGACCCAACTTGAATTATGATCGTTCCCATTAGGAATGTAGAAAACAGGGTGGCAGATTCTATGATAATAGCGGACCCTTCAGAAGGAATACCTGATAAAGTAATTAAGTTCATTAATATCTCGTTTGCACCAATGAAACACTATCTCTATCCCTCGATATTAGGAATGTATCAAAATTCGATGATGCTTTGTTGTTCTCAACTTTAGCAAAGCTCTCTTTATCCTCAGACGACCTATGTGACACCCTCCCAAGTCCCAAAAGGGTTAAAGAGTCCGAAATGCAATACTGGAGTTAAAGATCCATCCCCAATGGTCAATTGACAAGTATTCTCTATCCCCCATGAGGCTGGCTTTGGTCAAATCATATGGTGTTCCAGTTCTTCACAATAGGACATTCAACAATGGAATGCTCGTGTGAGAACATGCTGTATTTGTTTTGAGACTTCGGAAAGGGGCAGCAGTTCTTCATAGAAGCTTTGTGCACTAGGTCCTTCAGTAGAAACCTAAAAGAAATGTAGTTCAGTAGAAAATGTACCAGTGTTTCACTAATAGCCTTGTGCACTAGGTCCTTCAGTAGAGCATGAACCTGAAGAGAAGCAAAAACATAGAAGATCGTATTCATATTCAGTTTTTATAGCAAACAATGATACACACTCATAAGCACCTCCAGTATATAACACAATATCATAGGCAAATAATGAAATAGATCGTTATGATTTTGTCTTGCGAAACTTGAAAACATATAGTAAATTACTCGGCAATCCCAAAAAGTGACACGGAACCATGTGGTGTTTCGGTTACTCCGAAAATTCTAACCAAGTTTCTGATTCACCATCATAAAATCATGTCTAACATAATTCTAATGAACGATAAGCCACGTCAAGTTTTGTACTAGAAGAAAACTGATTGGATTGACGTTCTTCACATTTTGATCACAAGACAAACCGACCAAGACTACCGCATTTCATTACCAATTATTTTATGTAAGCTTCAAGGTGTTAAAGCATACCGCATCAACAGAAGCCTCAGCAGGACCTCTGATAGTTATTAAAGAAGACTCGATCAGACGGCGATATCCTTGTTCAGGAGCTATTAAATGAGGTTGGTATCCATCAGCTTCTGTAATGAGCTTCTTTATATTTTCCATGGAAAGTTGTTTGTCAAATTGCAGCCTCTTAAGAGCGGCAGGGAGCTGATTGTCGAAAACATTGTAAATCTTATCACCTCCAGAGCGCCTGCACAAGAAAATAATATCAACTTTCACTTTCTTCATAACAGATACGCATAAGAAGAAGGTGGTTCGGCCAAGAAGAATGAACCATAATACATACACGCCATCTAGATGCTCCTTGTATATTTGATCAAAAAGACGACATATCTCCATGATTGAATATAACTTTCCCTGCATTTTAGTGAGATCTTCATCAATTATACTTCTTGTAGCATATGAACTTGAGGTGTACAGTCATGCTATTGGCATTCCTTGCCTGAGTGAAAATTGCAACCCGCAAATAGTGTAAAGCTAGCAATGGGATAGTTGGTCTTCATAAAAAGAACCAGTAGAATGCAACTGATAAAATAAGCTAGCATGGGAAATAAATAAGACACATACTCCTGCATCTGAAGCTATAGGCTTGCCGAGACGATTCAATTCAGTCTCAAGCTCAAGAATTGTTTTGTTAATAAGGGATTGGATGCCCGGTATTTTGGCCTTGATTACATTCTCCAAGTGCTGCAATGAACATGATAGAATTAGCACATGAAGTTGAATAAATGGTTGAACAAAGAAATGATCATGATTTTCCAACCTTCGAAAGCGATTTCGCTAAATGCTCAGAACCCATTCTGTGTGCAAGATGCTTGTATTCAGGAGTACCAGAGAAATATTCACGCTCTCTGCGGCGAGCAGCAATCATATCGACATTCTTGTTAATATCAGCTTGGGATCGATTTACTACTCCAATCCAAGGAAACTTAAGTCGATATGATTTCCCTTCTAATATCTAAGAAGCCAAAGAACATCAACCTCAGTAGTTAGAATGCATCAAAACAAGGTGCTCATAATTGCAATAAGAGCACCTAAAATATAAGTCAACATAATCGAGATCTTAAAGCGTGAGGACAGTTATGAATGTTTCAACACCCATTAAAAGATGTCATGCAACTTTATCAGGCTCTGTTTAGTCCTGACTCCTGACAACACTCAGATCAACATTTTGTTGATTCAATGAAAACTAAATACAGTAAACACCAAAATATTCCCCAGTAAGAGTAATTAATACAAGTCATTGTCTTTCAGCAGAAAAGATACAATTAAACTTACATCAACAGCATCTGTTCCCTTATCCATTAGATCAATCTTTGTCAAGACTCCAAATGTCCTCTCCCCTAAACAAAATCATCACAGCGACTTAGTTACTGGAAGAAAATGAATGGAGATGCCAATAGAATGCTGCAAAGATGGAATTTCATATTTGCCCATCCCTGCAAGAGTTACATTTTAGGAGATCTAACAGGAAGACGAGTTTTGGAAAGCACCCATGATATACTCTTAACAAGTCCGAGGACCAGACACAAACATGAAAATTCAATCAGGGAGAGTAGGAAAGTTGTGCAGGGAAAGAACAAAATAGAAATGTTACCTGTAGGATCTACTTCACGAGAGATCTTAATTGCATCAGATGTAGCAAGATCTTGATTTGCAGGTGAAATTGCAAGAATTATACAATTAGGCTGCATAAAGAATCAAGAACTAATAAATTCTTTATTGTCTTCTTGGACAGTTCCGAAGGCAGTCATTGTGATGCGAAAATACTTCTTTTCAAATACCAAAGGGGCCCTTTTAAGACTAAACCAAAGTGAACACTTAACAGGTGCTGCAAAATCTAAGAATTTGGATGCCACCCCTAATGAAAGAAAACAAGAGCTGCAGAAGGCAGCATAAAACTTTCAAACAACAAAATTCACCCTTCTGCTATTCATGAGAGGGCATTTGCTCAAAATTCAACCAGCTATTAGCTCAATAATTCCTTGTGTTTAGCTAACCTGCTAAACCTTCTAGCAATAAAAAAGTATATTCCAAAGTAAATAACGGATGACGTATGATGCACAATACCTTCTCGATGTATGAGCGGACCATGTTCTCAATGTCTTGTACAATGCTGTCCGGTTGG